CTGAAACTGCAAAAGAAGCTTTATGGCTTACTGGTTTACTGAAGGAGTTGGGTGTTCAACAAGGTGGAGTTCAGTTGCTTTGTGATAATCAAAGTGCTATTCACTTGGCTAAGAATCAGGTGTATCGTGCTAGAACTAAACATATTGATGTAAGGTTCCACAAGATCAGAGAGTTGGTTGCATCTGGAGAGGTTTTGTTTCAGAAGGTACATACTGATGAGAATGCCGCTGATATGTTCACTAAGCCAGTTACGACAGACAAGTTCAAGCATTGCTTGGACTTGTTGAATGTTTCGAGTTGTTAAAGAATCAAGGTAACCCAACCCACATTGAATTTTCCAAGAGGCAGGATATTCGCCAAGGTGGAGATTTGTTAGGTATGGCTCATAAATACACCAGTAAAGAGGACAGGAGATGGAGCGGAGTGAGCGAACATTAACTGTCCTTACAAAGAAAGTCTCGTTGTGGGGTTACAAATTATGTGGGTTGGGGGTGCGGGGGCGCAGCCCCCGCGGTACGGTACAGGGTTAATTTTGTAATTATGTACCAGGGTTTTCTATTATAAATAGAGATGTAACCTAGACCTAAAAAATTCATTGAATAAAAACTTCTAGCGCCGCCTAGGCACCGAGGATGTAAGCACATTGCCGAACCTCGTAAAATTCTCGTGTTCTTTTGTTTTCTTTACCCGTTTTCGTCAACACATAGAAATGCCTCATCACACATAAAGGTTAGTGGGAACTCAATATTGTGTCCAACTTGCTTTGAACACGTCAAACAACTTTTGGAATCAATTGGAATCGATTGAAAACTTTACTTTGGCACAGGTTCCTCATTTTGGTGGTTTTCCAATGATGCTTCATTAGTACATAGTTAGGATTAAACTCAAATAATCGATTTCCTCTCGGATTAAAAATAATTAAGAGATAATATGTCTTAAGATTGTTAGACAAAAGTGTTAATCCAAGATAATAATAATAATAATAAATATTATTATATAATATAACGAAACAAAATAAATAAAATTTAAAGTAGAGGCAAGAAGTTGGTTTACTCATATTTAGACAATGAATCGATGAGTAGAGTATGATAAACCGAAGAATGATTTTTGTTGAGGCCTGTATGAACAGTTTCTTTAAGACAGATTCGTCCTCTCCTCAGTGCTTTGAGTAACGTTGTACGTCGGTCTCCCATGATACAACAACAAACGATCACAATAGTAAGCACAACCGTAGTGATAAGTCGAACACAATCTTCCCTTTATCTATAACCGGAAAGAACTAATTTGAAATGAATTTTCTAAGTGATTTCCTAATTCAACTTTGTGAATTGTGTCTCAAAGTTGTCTCTCAAAGTTGTGTATAAGATTGTACCTCAACTAACCTATAAATAGAGGAGAGGAAATTAATCAAAAGGTTATAACCTTTTGATGAAGAGATTTGTTGAAAAACTAATAGGTATAATTGAATTGATGCAATTTTATACCAAATAATAAGTATGTTCACCAAATGACATAATTTATTATTAAAAGACATCAATTTTTTTCAATTATTTATTAATTTTTCCAACATAGCATTGATGAATATATGATTTAAACGTATTATTGTGTAGTTACATGATTACTACTGTATGGATACATGAAATGTTTGTCAAATCTCGTAAGAACATGAGAGGAGCCCATATCCACCACACGTTGATGTCATGGCCCATACTTAACCTAATATTTCAACCTCTAACATTTGTAATCCAACACCTACTTACATCAATCAAATAACAATTTATATTATGAAATTGGATCAAATAAATTGGACATTAAAGTTATGGGAGTTACCTAATTGCTTGCTCAATTATGAGGTTCACCTGCTTTTAGATATTTAGACATAATGGTCCATTAATATTTTGAGTTGCTTCATATATGCACAAAATTCTTCTTATCATCTTGATTCTAATCAAATAAGGATTGTCTTGTCCATTACTTTAAAAATGACTTTCACACAAATATAAAAAAATTAAAATTTTGAAAAGATATAAATCATTATCATTCATTAAGTTTATAAATAAGTTTTCAAATCACGAATTAAATAGGTATCTAATTTTTCCTTGTACTATCTTTACTAAAAGGAACATATTTTGAATTTTTAATAGAGAAAATAACCTCATTTTCCAAAAATGCCTTATAATATACGATTTTAACCAACTTTTTTTTTATTTTCCAAAATGACCAACTAAATCGCAATGCGATCGATAATTCGCAACGCGATCTCCGGTATCGCAAATCAGTTTCCAGATTCGCAATGCGAACTTCGACTATTGCAATGCGAACTTGGACTATCGCAATGCGAACTTGGACTATCGCAATGCGAATATGTAAATCGCAATGCGATAGTCGACTATCGCAATGCGATTATGTAAATCGCAATGGGATAGTCCAAGTTCGCATTGCGATAGTCGACTATCGCATTGCGATTTACATATTCGCATTGCGATAGTCCAAATTCGTTGCGATAGTCGAAGTTCGCGTTGTGATTTATTCCAAATTCGCAACGACTGCATTTGTTTCTTAAGAATTTTCTCTAAAAAGATAGTATTCGCGCGAACGTGTCGAAGACACGTATTACCACGACCACGACCACGACCACGACCCGACCCGACCCGACCCGACCCGACCTGAAACGAGACGAGACGGACGGCGGCAGCGCGCGAGAGTCCTCCTTGTTCTCTATCACTCAACTTGTTCTCTATCACTCAACAAGGAAGTGGGAAAGCCAAGCCTTAAATACCATTCCCAATAGTGTTTCCAATACTATGTGGGATTGAGCATTACCAACACTTATTTCCAATACAATGTGATTATTCAGGAAACAATTAACAATCATGCACCTTAAAACAACTGAATCAGAAACCAATTGCATTAGTATTATACGATTAAATATGTCATAATTAAAAGTCAATCTACAATCAATCGCGATTATTGCAATTTTAAGCAAAACATTAAAAAATAATATCACTATTTAAGGCTCAATCCCACATAGTATTGGGAACAAGTGTTGGTAATGCTCAATCCCACATAGTATTGGAAACACTATTGGGAATGGTATTTAAGGCTTGGCTTTCCCACTTCCTTGTTGAGTGATAGAGAACAAGGAGGACTCTCGCGCGCCGCCGCCGCCGCCGTCCGTCTCGTCTCGTCTCGTCTCAGGTCGGCTCATCTCGTCTCGGGTCGTGGTCGGGGTCGGGGTCGGGGTCGGGGTCGGGGTCGGGTCGTGGTCGTGGTAATACGTGTCTTCAACACGTCCGCGCGAATACTATCTTTTAGAGAAAATTATTAAGAAACAAATGCAGTCGTTGCGAATTTGGACTATCGCAATGCGAATATGTAAATCGCAATGCGATAGTCGACTATCGCATTGCGATTTACATGTTCGCATTGCGATAGTCCAAGTTCGCATTACGATAGTCGACTATCGCATTGCGATTTACATATTCGCATTGCGATAGTCGAAGTTCGCGTTGCAAATCTGGAAACTGATTTGCGATAGCGGAGATCGCGTTGCGAATTATCGATCGCATTGCGATTTAGTTGGTCATTTTGGCAAATCCAAAAAAAGTTGGTTAAAATCGTATATTATAAGGCATTTTTGGTCAATGAGGTTATTTTCTCTTTTTAATATCTGATTAAAAATAACTCCTAACGTAGAAATCCATACATAAAAAGACATCTCAACGTAGAAATTTTCAAATCCATAAAATCATCATATTCAAAATCAACTGCAATTTCTTATTCAAAATATCTTTTTATTACTATATATTTTTTAAAATTAAATCTAAAAAATAACTCTAAATACACGCATGAAGATCAAACATCGTCCTCAAAAATTTCTCTAACATATACAGCTAATTGTAATCGTACCCTTCAATATGAGACGTCTTCGGTTCATATCGAGGCTATACTTGTCTTGTACCCATCTCGAAAAGGGTAAACTACTCAAATGACCACATATGAGGTTGGTATCGATATGACCATCAGTTTCTCAATTTTGTCAATATTACCACATAACTATTTAAATATTTTCAATCAAGTCACCGGTCGTTAACCTTTGACAGAACTGTTGACGTGGTAGTTAACAAATTTGACATAATTATACATTTGGTCACAATTTTAATTTAATTCACAAAATTGACCCTCCAATCGAGAGGTGTCACGTTTCAATCGATTATTGTAACATATTTCAGTAGTGACCACCTGTTTAAAGGAGAAATTTTAAGTTTAATTTCTTTTTGTTTTTCCTTAAACAGGCGGTGATATGTGTCCCCATCTGATTGGTGAAAAAAAACATTCGATTAAAATATTAAAACTAATTCAAAAAATCTTCTATCCGATGGTGACACTTCACTGGTGAAATGTGTCACAATAATCGATTGAAATGTGACACCTTCTGATTGGAGGGCTAATTTTTAAAATTAAATTATAAAATATGTAAGCACCGATGATCAAATTTATAATTTTGTCAATTTTGTTAACTGACACAACAACACTTTCATCAAAGGTTAACAATATGTGACTTGATTAGAATCACTTAAATAGTTATGTGATCATATTGACAAAATTGAAAAAATTATAATCATATAGATACTAATTTGGGCAGTTTATCCTCTCGGAAACATATTAGGTACTTGAAACCGCATTGAGTTTCCATTCCAGTCGAATATAGCTGTTTGTAAACGAGTTACAGAAAGAAAGTTTTGAAACTTGCCATACAACAAATAGTTTTGAGAACATTTTCCGATGGGAACACAACCGTAACACTGTCAAATGCTGGAAGCAAATATTTTGTTTGTGACAACAGGTTGCATTGTCTTTGAGTGATGATGCTTCCAGTTAAATCTAGAAGATGATCAAGCATCTTCAACTGTTGGGGCACTTGAAGCGCAACCACAACCTCGAGATAAAACTCCAAAGCCATATTAATATCATAGATTCCTTTACATTGTTCGGTAAATAATTACAAACCCCTGTTCAGTAACTACATAAATCAGCAGGCATTCATTCCAATTTCAATTTTAAAAAGAGGAGGTTTAAAGGTACAATATGCTAGTGAAAGACAGAAAACTATAAACAACCATAAGCTAAAAGCTGCATAGAGTGGTGAGAACTCAGCCGTAGCATCGGATTGGATCGTTGCACCCTTTCTCAGCTGATTGTTTAAAACCGAACCGACCTCCTTTTGCAAGGTACTGCTGGTGATATTCCTCTGCGCGATAGAACTTCTTGGCAGGCAGAATCTCGGTAACAATCTTTCTGTTCAAGAGTTTCTGTCGTTTTTCCATGGACTCACGTGCCGCCATCTCCTGCTCTGGGGTGTAAAAGTATATACCAGATCTGTATTGTGTTCCCACATCATTCCCCTGTCAAATGATTCACAACATATTAGAACCGCATGATTAGGATGTAGGTGAAAGAACACCAACATCATCGACAAAGATTACCCTGTCTCGGATCTATCACTATTCACTAGGGGGTAATAGACATGCTTTTGTCATGACATGTTCGCCATATCAACGAAGGTAAACAAGAAACTGAAAAACAACGGGTATATCAAATCTGTGATTCCCAACGTATTAGAACCGCACGATTAGGATGCAGGTGAAAGCATACCAACATCATCGACAAAGATTACCCTGTCTCGGATCTATCACTAGGGGGTAATAGACATGCTTTTGTCATGACATGTTCGCCATATCAATGAGGATAAACAAGAAACTGAAAAACAATGAGTATATAAAATCTGTGATTCCCAACGTATTAGAACCGCACGATTAGGATGCAGGTGAAAGCATACCAACATCATTGACAAAGATTACCCTGCCTTGGATCTATCACTAGGGGGAAATTGACCTGCTTTTATCATGACATGTTGGCCATATCAATGAGGGTAAAGTAAACAAGAAACCGAAAAACAATGGGTATATCAAATCTTGTGATTCACAACATATTAGAACCGCACGATTAGGATGCAGATGAAAGCATACCAACATCATTGACAAAGATTACCCTGCCTCGGATCCTATCAATAGGGGGAAATTTACATGCTTTTATCATGACGTGTATTGTTGGCCATATCAACGAAGGTAAACAAGAAACTGAAAAACAACAGGTATAATCTATGATTCACAACATATTAGAACCATACGATTAGGACACAGGTGCAAGCATATCAACATCATCGACAAAGATTAACCTGCCTCGGATCTATCACTAAGGGGAAATCGATATGCTTTTATCATGACATTAGGCCATATCAATGAGGATAAACAAGAAACTGAAAAACAATGTGTATATCAAATCTGTGAATCACATTTGCAAGTCACGGAAAACCAATCAACCAAAATGGAAGACAATAGAAACTATCATCCAATAAGTGCCACCATGAAATCTAATTCCATAACATCTGGTATTTCGTAGTTACATTCTTACAGTGCAAGAATTCAGAAAACATTAAACCAGGGGAGACAAACTTACTTTTAACTTCAGAGAAGATGACCACAAATCACCAATCACGCAGCACCTTAATTATCAACTATAGAAATAAACACACATTACAGGTTGTTTATTCTCATTTAAAGCTAAGAATTAACAAACACACATTAAAAGACAGAAAAGGCCGAATTACTAAAGTTTCCCTTGGGTTCACTGGTTTTACATTTAAACTTCGACAGATACCACAAACACATCAGCTTCAAATAACAGAAGTTATCACCATCTAAAAATCCATGCAAACAAAACTTCAAAAAAAAAAAGAACCCATGAATTACCTCTAACTTATCACTATAATAAATAATATAATTCATATGATTTCAATAGTAAACACAAAATTCACCTTCTCATAACAACCAAAAATCACAAACTTAAAGCATAATATTTTTTTTTTAAAAAGGGGAAAATTTCCTATCATAAGAACCCACCTGTCGGTTGGGGGTAGTAGGATCATGGAAATCCCAGAACACATCAAGCAAAGTGTCAAAGTTACACTCTTTAGGGTCATACTGAACCCTAACAACTTCATTATGGTTGGTAGTCCCCGAACACACGTCTTCATAACTGGGATTATGCATAAACCCTTGGCTATACCCAACCTCCGTTTTGGTCACTCCTGGAACTCTCTGGAACGTCAATTCAACTCCCCAAAAGCAACCTGCACCAAACTGAGCAAACTGTTGACCAGGAGCGGGCACGTCTTCGTCTGGACCCTGAGCAATGGAGGAATCCTCCATTGACGGGGCTGGCTTGCTGTTGGCTCCGAAGCCGAGATTTTTAAGGATGTTCATGGGGCGTGTGTGAAGCGAAATGGATCGCTTGGTTTGAGGGAAAGGAAAATAAAGATGAGAAAAAGAGTTGGGAAACTTGGGAGACAGAGAAAATAAAGGATTAGAGATGAGGGAAGAAGAAGTAACAAGCGTAAGACTCCGAAGCATTTTTAAAAATTAATAAAATAAAGTTCTTGTTAAATATGATAAAAAAATTCTGATTAAATTAATATTTCAACTAAAAATAACCAGAAAACCCAAATAATATAATTATATGGATATATTAGGAAGATAAGTTCCAGAACTGGAAGTAAGGTTTTTTATTGGCTGGATGTTGGAAGAGTCTAGAACAAGATGTGAGATTCAGACAGCACGATATCTGTCTCTGTGTCTATCTGAATGTCCGGTAATTAAACCTGAACAACGTGTCGCCAAGGCCACCACACTCACACGGTCGAACCTGCTTTCAATTTCATTGGGTTGTTGCCCCTTTTTCATCTAATCCCCAATGCTTAATATCTTGGCCCAAATCTCGAGTGCCAATCTTCTTCATGTACGCCCAAGATCCCTTAGGATGACAGTTTGGACTAGGGACGGAACCAAGATCTCAAATTAAGAAGGATAAAGGATAATTTTTTTAATTAGAGGTTAATTCATAAATATTTAAATTATATATATAAATTGATTTTTTTTAAAAAAAATTGCAGGTTGGGGGACACATTCCCTCCCATATAGCTAATAGATTTGTCCTTGATTCGAAGGGTAGTTCACATTTTACGAGACATAATATGTATGTCCTATGTATGTGTTAGCATATATGAATGGACATTGTATGTTGTGGTATGATCATTAATGTACAGTTAGTATTAGCAAGCATGTTAAATAGATATTTACATGATTGAAGAAATGAATGAATGATGTAAAATAGGCCTTTTAAAACTAAAATATTAGAAGAAGTTCAATAATATTTCAAAATTTATTATAACTATAAGAAAACGTTAAATAGTGTAAAAATACCTTCATGTAATAAAGTGAAATACAAAGTAAGCTATTCTCTAAATAAATTTGTTCTCCTAGCATTTTTGGAAGCAAAGTTATTGACTAGCTCTTTATAATTAAGACTCTCCAATAGATCGTTTTCAATAGCTATCAATGCCAATCCATTAAGTCTCTCTTGTGACATTGTGGACCGCAAGTAGACTTCAATAACTTCATTTTGAAAAACTTCTTTTGCAAATGCCACCGTTACTGGAATAGTCAATAGTACTCTAAATGCAATTAGTGCATTAGGAAAACAATCGACCTTTTTCATAAATTTTAAAACATCAGTAGGTCTCATATTTTCAGCTGGCAAGAAATTGTTAAGTAACCTTAGCTCCACATAGAGTTCATTTGCATCAATATCTGATCGTCCGTTTTTCTTGAGTACATCTTCAAGATGACTACAACATGACTTAAGGTGGTTGTCATCAAAGAACTTTAACTTGTCACAAGAGAACAAGAAACCAAAATTTTTCTCGTACTCTTTGTATTGTTCAAACCTTGTTGTAAGAAAAGCAATTGCCTGATCAACAATATACAAGAAGTAGTTGACTTTAAATGACTCCTCTGCAGAAAAAGAAGCATCTTGATTAATTGAACTCTCGTCAAATTGTCTTTTCCTACGAATTACACGTCTTTGAGGGAAGACAGGATCAACATTTATTTCAGTTGCAATTTGCTTAGCAATATCGACAGCTTTTGAGAACCTCGTGTTTCTAAACTCCTCAAAGAAAGAGATCAAACCTTTCACTTCTTTAATAGCAACATCAATAAGCATATCTTTGGATTGTAAGTTTTTGCTCACTAAATTTACGGTGTATAATATATCGAACCAAATGATGACAATTGAAACTAAAAACTCAAAATCACCAAGCTCATTTGTTACTAAAGATTTAGCTTCACTTTTTATTTTGGAATCATTATCGTTCTCTGTAACTTGAAGTAAAGCTTCGCTTACTTCCACAATCTGAAATCTAATAGCTTTGACACTATCAACACGACTTTCCCAGCGTGTGGTTGACAATGACTTAAATTTCAGTCCTTGAACATTATTCTTCAAAATTTGCCACCTTTTAGAAGAATTGGAAAATATTGTGTATATGCGTTGCATTACTCCAAAAAAATCTCTAGCTTTTCCACAAGTATTAGCCATGTCACATAATGTTAGATTAAGACTATGACAACCACAAGAAGTATAAAATGCTCTAGGATTTATATCTAGAAATTTCTTTTGTACTCCATGATGTTTACCTTTCATATTCGATCCATTGTCATAGCCTTGACCACGTATATCATCAATATCAAGACCAAGTGACTTCAATTCATCTTGTGTTGTATCAAAAAGTCACTGACCAGTGGTATCATTAACATTTAAAAATCCTAAAAAGGATTCCTCAACACTGACACTTGTGGATGAGAAATTTACATACCTCAATATCAAAGTCATTTGTTCCTGATGACTGGAATCTGGGGTACAATCAAGTATCACTGAGTAATACTTTGCTTGCTTAACTTTTTTTATGATATCTGATTTGATTGCATGTGCAAGTAAAGTTATTAACTCATTTTGGATTGTATGACCGAGATAGTGAACATTGATGTTATCACTTGTGATACGTCTCACGTGCTCTTTAATAACTAGGTCAAACTCTTCCAGCATTTCAATTAAACCCAAAACGTTCCCGTTGCTCTTTTGATACAACTTCTCGTTCGATCAACGGAAAGCTAAATTATGTTTAGCAAGGAACTTTACAATTGAAATAATTCTCTGAAGAACTTTCTTCCAATGATCTCTCTCTTTTTCAAATTGTTCTTGTTCCACTTTATCAATTGTTTCATTATTTTTTAATCTATGACGAATATCAAGCCAAGTAGTCATTTTTGTGACATGTTCTAGGCCCACTTCATGCTCTTTAAGTCTAGTGCTAAGATGTTGCCAATCTGTAAAACTGTCATTAGCTAACTGACCTTTTGCAAGCCATTTCCTAAATATTTTACAACAGAAACAAAAAACTCTGTCAAACTCTTTGGAATATACTAGCCATTCTCTATCCACCTTCTCATTGTTTGGAAGGATTCTAGTATATAAAGCGGAAGAAAATTGTCTTGAAAATTTATCTTTAGGACCCTTCTCAAATGACATATCTCTTTTAGGACCCTTTGATACCAGAACCTTAATCATGTCAGAACTAAGATCATCCCAACGTCTCGGATCAAATATATCAACATGATTAACATCAACATTAGTATCATCAACATGGTCATTATTAACATCATCCGCACCTTCACCATCAATATCGCCATCATCGACATTAGTATTATTAACATCATCAACATCTTCGCCATATACATCAACATCATTAACATGATCAATAACAACATTTTGATCTCGAGAAAAAACTTGTGGTTCTCTTTGAATAAACTTATTTAGAGCTCCACTTTGAGACTTAATGAGTTCTTCGAGTCTTTTTCTCTTTTTACGTTTTTCATGTCCTGATTCATGTTTTCTTAACCTAAGAGGCATAATCTCTGAACATGTTCAATAAATAGCCAATACAAATACAATTAGAAACTTCAAACATAAGATATGTGTAACTCAAATACTTTACTATTACTATTTTGTTTGATTGATAATAAAGTTATGAATCATTATAGTTTGTTTGATAGAGTTTAACTAATTAAATGTGGCTTTTACACTACTATTAGTTAACTAATAGTCTAATATTATATATAGAATTATAAATCATAAATAAAAACACCTAAAATAATTTAAAATATAAAAAATAAAGCTACAGAAAAGTGAGCATAGCCAAACACTAATAATCTTGAAACATCACACACACATACATAAATAATTAATTATTTTATATTTTTATTAATAAACTAAAAATAAAAATTAATAATCTTGAAGAAATTAAATAATAATAAAAAACATTTATTAACCTTGAAAAAGAGAAAAGTGCAGTCGCAATCACAGAAGAGAGGAGAGGCAAACACTAAAACGCCACATATACATAAATAATTAATTATTTTATATTTTTATTAATAATCTAAAAATAAAAAACTAATAATCTTGAAAAAATAAAATAATAATAAAAACATTTACTAACCTTGGAAAAGAGTCGCAGAGAAGAGGAGAGCGTAGAGATTTTTGTATTTTTTTTACTTTGCAGGGTGTTTCTGCAGAGGAGAGAGGAGGCAAATATCTAAGTTTTACTTTTTAGAATTTTTTAAACTGACCGTCAAATATTATTTAATGTGGGCTTTGGACTTGAAAATTCTTGGATCAAATATCTTAAATACACATATATACAAAAGATTTAAAAAAAATTGGAGGCCCTTACAAAAATTGGGCCTTGTGCGGTTGGGCAGCCCGCACAAGCCTAAAACCAACCCTGTATTAAAGGTACATTGGTGTTAAAACTTATAAACATATGTAGGTGTGTTAATTGGTATGTATTTAAGAGATGGGTAAATTACAAAAATGGTCTCCCGACTATAGGACGTTATTTTATTGAGTCCATCGACTTCTAAATATTATAAAAGGTCCTTCGATTATAGAGTGTTGCTTTGTTGAGTCCATCAACTGTTAAAAGTTACAAAACGGTCCTTCTACTATAAGAAGTTATTTTGTTGAGTCTCTCGATTATTAAAAATAACAAAATGGTCACCTAACTATTCATATATTCCAAACTCCTGCTTTTTCGTTAAACATTTATGGTCGTTTGAGTTGAATGTTAACATAATAACTAAGATATGGTAATCGTTTGAAATTTTGGGATCAATTTTATCATATCTCAGCCAGCAGGTTAACGTCTAGCTCATACTATCGTTAATTGTTTAATGAAAAATGATGAGTTTGGAACATATGGATAGTGTGATGACAATTTTGTAACTTTTAATAGTCGATGACTCAACAAAGCAACACCCTATAATCAAGGGATCATTTTATAATTTTAAATAGTCGAGAGACTCTATAAAACAACATTCCATATTCGGATACCATTTATATACTTTGCCTTAAGAGATATAATAATATAATATTTATGATTTGTGAAAGGTAAGATGAACCCTTAATGTGATTTAGTCGTCGAGGAAAATGCATTTTATATGTCATTATATGTGCTTT